TGAGAATGGTTCCCGACCATACAGACAGTGTTTTGTTATGTTGTGTATGGGGTCACTGAGTTGGGACCTAACAACAACAACAACAACAACACTATAACATCATTATCCCACTTCTTCCTTATTTCTTGTTTCCATTCCTCCTCCTTTTCCAACACTTGTGAACTTTGGGTAAATCCTGCCCTTTTCATCTCAAGTGGTTGGCCATTCTATGGCATGCATATCTCACTAATATTGTTGCCCCTACCTATGTACCTATGTACCTATGTATGGCTTGGCTGAAAATTTAACCACAGGTGAGTTCCATTCCAGACCTGAAGGGTGACCAAGAGTCATAGTTTTGGGATCTACCAGTCTCTATCTGATCAGTAAACCTGGTCTTTTTTTATGATTTTGAGTTTTGTTCCACATTTTCTCCCACTCTATTCAAGACCTTCTAATGTGATCCCTTTCGGAGTGTTGGTAGTTGTAGCCAAGTACCATCTGGTTCTGGTCTCTGAGTTGTGGTGACTGATGTTCCCGTGGTTCATTAGTCCCTTGGGTTAATTATTTCCAAGCATTTTCAATTTTCATCACCCTTTCCTCTGGACAGGGAGAGACCAATCGCTGCCCCTTAGGTAGCTCGCTCATCAGCTTTTAAGATCCCAGTTATTGTGCTGTAGGATCAGCACCAGACTGCGAACACAAGGTCAACTGTTCAAACCCACCAGTTGCTCCGGGGAACCCTCTACAGGGTCACTATGAGTCGGAACCAATTTGACAGCGCTTAACAACAAGAACTCACCAAAGTAGGATGTAGAACAGTGTCTTTGTGGCCTGTGTTATGCCATTTGACCATGTTGTCCCCTGCATTAAGGTCATACACCTCCAGTTCCAAGATTCATTCTCTTAAAGTGTTTTACTCTGATAGTGTAGTGGTTACGAATTGGGCTGTGAACTGCAAGGTCAGCAGTTCGAAACTACCAGCTCTTCTACAGGAGAATGATGCGTTCTGCTCCCATACAGATTTACAGCCTCGGAAACACCCTGTACAGGGTCGCTATGAGTCGGAACTGACTGCACAGCACACAGCCACCACCAGTGCTTAAAAAGTTTTCTTAACTTTGTTGCCTATGTGTTCCACCACATTCATGGAGTCACACCATGTAATTCCCAATATAAACAAGTGAAAGGCATGTTAGACAGTTTTTTTGCTTGTTGGTTTTATTAATGTGCAGTGGCCTGCTATGGCGTTGTGAGTTAATGTGCTGGACCGGAAGGTCACTTTGAACTGCAGAGTTGGCAGTTCAAGCTCACCAACTGCTCCTTGGAAACCCTATACAGGTTCGCTATGAGTCGATATCGACTCGATGACACTTAACAACAGCATGCTTATTGAACATCTGATGCATAAAGATCTGCAGGATTTGAGAAGTTATTGGGAAGGGGGATAAAAAAGTAATACTGGGTTCCTGCTGTCGAGGAGCTCTGATAATTAGAAAGTAAAATGTAATGTGAGCTATATTATAATAGCAGTACTAAGCGGACCAATAAGGAGCTTTGGTAGTGTAGTGGTTACCAATTGGGTTGCTAATCTCATGGTCAGTAGTTTGAAACTACTAGCTGTTCTGTGGGAGAAAGATGAGGCTTTCTGCTCCCATAAAGATTTATAGCCTTGGAAACCCTGTACAGGGTTTTATGAGTCGGAACCAACTCCACAGCGCTTAACAACAACAAGGGGACAAATAATTGAGAGGATAAAGGATGACAATATAGTAGAGATGCTATGTTGTCTATTAGGTCCTTGAAAAAAATGATTTTGATATATAAAAGATAACAATGGCAGTGTGGGAAGGCCTTCTAAATATATTGCAAAAACACAATACAACATTAGTCTTAAATCATGTTTGCTAATGGTCAGGAGTCTAATGTTTGTGGAGCATATAGGATGCTTTGCCAGGGAGTTGGGGCCTGTAGTAAATGAGGCGGACAAGTTTGCTTGCTGTGTGTATAAGACCTTTGGAGTTACAAGTGACAGATCTCATTTTGAGTTAGTTTAAACTAAAAAGGTAAATACTAAGAAGGACATTGGATGCCCAAGAAATCAAATACAATCATACTGACTAGAGGAATGGCACTGATATAGCTGAGTCAAGGATTTGAAGGAACACTACCACAATTTTGGCTTAAATTTAGAATTTCCTTTTTGTCTTTTTTTGCATGTTTTATCTGCTGTCTGTCTTTCTCCTTCCTTTGCTCGTTTTTGTTTCCTGTAGAATGCCTTCTGTATTTTTTCTTCAGTGCCTCCTTATCTTTCATTTCCTACTAGTTAGCTACTTGAAAGTAATTATTTTTGATCTGGAATCAGTATCCTGGGGGAAGGGACAGATGGGCCCAGCTTCATGAGCTTGAGTGCCCCTGTGATCAGACATTTACAGCACATGATGGATCACTTTAGACTACCCACACTAATCAAGAAGTAGTAGTAGCAGTGGAGTCCTGGTGTGGTACTCTAGGATAAGCACTGGACTGCTAACTGCCAGATTGGCTGTTCAAACCATCCAGCCACTTCTCAGGAACCCTAGACAGTAACACTGTGAGTCAGAACTGACTATATGACACTGAACAATAACAGCAAGTAGTAGCAGGCGTAGTACTTACCATGTACATAGTGCTTATTGACTAGGTGCTTTTTAAGCCTTGTGAAGTTTCTGCCTTGTAGAGTTAGAAAATGATACTAACACTTTTCAGTCCTTTGAGGGTACTTTCTTTTTATGGATAAGGGAACTAGACTTAGAAGGGAAATAAGTCACATACAACAATTTATTGTGGAATCAGAACATATTATAAAAATATTAAAAAGATGGAAGATGACAAGGAAGATAAGAAAATTAGAGGGCCAACCCAGGTGGTCTTGTTGAATAAACAATACCGTCTTAAAGGTTAAGACCATTCCTGCTTTAGGGAGGGGGAAGTATGTTGTTGGGTGACTTTGAGTCAGTTTCAACTCATAGTGACCCTGTGTATAATAAAATGAAACACTGCCTGGTCCTGCTCCATCCTCATAGTTCTTGCTATTTTTGAGCCCATTGTTAGAGCTGACACTGTGTGTGTACCTTTTTTTGAGTTTTTTTTCCCCACTGACAACTACCAAAGGACCTCTGGTAGCTAGTGGTTACGAATCGGGCTGCGAACCTTAAGGCCAGCAGTTCGAAACTACCAGCTGTTCCGCCGGAGAAAGATGAGGCGTTCTCCTCCCGTAAAGATTTACAGCCTCGGAAACCCTGTACAGGGTCGCTATAGGTCGGAAACGACTCAAAGGCACTTAACAACAACAACAACAACTACTTTACTAGGCATGATGTCCTGTTCCAGAGACTGGTCCTTCCTGACAGTATGACCAAAGTGAAGCAAAGTCCTTACTTCTGAGGAACATTCTGGCAGTGCTACTTTCAGACAGATTTGTTTGTTTTTTTAACAAGCCTTCATGTTTTCAATCTTCTCCAACACCATAAATCAG